TCCCAGAATTCCCCAGCCAGCCATGCCGGGTGGAGAATTCTGGGAGTTGAAGTCCACACATCTTAAAGTGGCCAAGGTTGAGAAACACTGATCTAGATGAATTGGACGATAGCTTCCATCATACACAATCAGCAGATAATGAGGACTAACACAATGGGAGGGCACCTAGGTTGAAAAAAACTGATGTAGAGTGTATGTGAAATTAGAGCCTGGTGGAATGACTACAAATGTTGGCAATTATAGGAAAAGAACAAAGAAGAGGGTGCTAATAAGTTCTCAGAGCAGACAGCATGTATTGTATGATTTATTCCTTCTCTGCCCACTGCCTAGGATTATGAAGGCATTTACAACCCAGTAAATTTATTATGAAGGGCGTAAAGGGGTAGACGTAATCCTGAAGCAGAAATGCTTGGAAAATAGAAAGTTGGTGAGAGATCTATGGAGTGGTCCAGAACAGCAAGTGAGCTGTGTAGAATGCAAAGATATTCCCACAAATGCATAACTCCAAGGATTTGTTCTGCAGACTGATGTGACCTGCATAGCACTGTTGTAGAGCAGCACACAACTTTCATGTTGATTCACAAATGAAGAACAATAAGTAGATGCTGCTGTCCTGATTACTTTGTGCCTGATGGCCATACAGTGCTTGCTTGATGGAACATCAGGAGTCTTTCTTTCACTTACTGCCACCCAGTAATAAGACAGGAGGACTCCCGAAGGGGAGGAAACACCTGCATATTAGAAAATGAGATGCGAAATGGAACCATGATTAAGCTGAACATGGCGCTAAGTATAAAAAGGAGGTGGTGATATGGAGCAAAGATAAACAGAAAACAGTATGAGAATCAGCAGGGTCAGAATTGGAACTCCTAGCTTTAACCAATGGGTTCTCTTCTTCAAGAAGCTTTCCAAAAATTCATACCTACCAGTTACTGTTTCACATCCATGAAAAACAACGGAAGCTGCAGATTGCCCTAAGACCTGCTTCTATACATTACAGAATGGTCAGAAGCTTTTTCCTATACAACTCTGCAGAGTTTCAGGAACAGAACGGCGCTTCAAAGCACGCTCGGGATCACGCTGTGATAAGCCTACCGAATTGATTATTTGCCATCAACTCGTTTTCGACTCCTAGCGACCACACAGATTTTCTCCATGACGATCTATCCCTGATAAACTGGGAGATTAAACAGAAGAGTTCAACTAAAGGAAGAAGGGCACTTATCTTATGAGGGGCAAGCGGCAGGAGGGGTACCAAGGCTGCAATCCTCTGTTAGCTACCTTGACATTAAACGGAGGCTCGAGTTGAACCCTGAACCATCTCCACTTGGAAGCGTTAACATTTGCACCAATGCGCATCGGAGCCTATTACGGCGCTGAAATAGGAGTACTCTGCACAGGCGCAGGGGTTCACTCTTTTATTCACGTACTTCGAAACCTTGCCCCGGTTCACTCTGCACGAGCTCAGAGGCACGTTCGGCGCCGCCAGGGCGCAGGCTAGCGCTCAGGGCTCGTGCGCCGCCGCGTGCGCGGTCTCCTTACCGAAGAGGCTGTTGCTGAAGCCGTCCCACACGCAGCCGGCGGCGTCCCAGGCCCAGTGATTCCTGAGGCAGGAGAGGAAAGTGAAGCTGACGCCGAAAAGCGACACGAGCAGGTCGCTGAGACTGATGTTGACCAGGAAGAGATTGGTGGGCGTGCGGAGCCGCTTGAACTTGGTGTAAACCACCAGGACCAGCAGGTTGTTGCACAGGCCCACGAAGCCGATGGCGGCGATAAGCAGGGCCAGCAGCTCGTAGGTGCTGGCGCTGAACGGCGTCCCCGAGTCCCCCGCCGGCTGCTGCCGTCGCCGTTCCAGGTCCTGTTTCCCCGCCGTGGGCTCCAGGCTGCCGCCGCTGCCGTTCCCAGAGTACATAGCTCGGGGTGGGTGCCTGGGAAACTCCGTTCACATGCTGCCGGTGGTGCTCTTTCCTCCTGCTCAGCTGCGCGCTGCTGAGGACCGCGCAAGGTTTGCTAACACGCCTGAATCTATTGCAAAAGCCTGCTGCTGCTTCTGCCTATACTGCTGCCGCCGCTCCCCGAAGAATCTGTTGGCGCCAAAGGAGGCGAGGGAGGAGCGAACTCTTGGAGAGATCGTGGAAATGGAGCGCGTTTCCTTGGCGCGGTCAGCCTGGTTAATGGCACCGGGGGCTGCCCCTGAGCAAGCGCGCCTGAACGAAGCCGACGAGAACTCAGGAATGGAAAGGAAGGGGCCTCGAGTAAGCCTCCAAGGGCGGCACCGTAGTAACACACCTCCTTCGTGAAGCACGGCGCGGTCGCCCAAACGAGAGGAAGGCGAACTCTGAGGCTTGCGCGGATGCGCGAAGCGTATGGCGCAGTGCTGACAGTCGCTTGTCCCCGGGCCGCGAGGTTCTTGAATTGCTAATATTTCGGACATCTGTTCGTACAAAATAGAAGTCCTGCTTCATGATTGGACATTCCCCTTCAGTGTTTTGTTCTGTTATTTTCAGACTGAATTCCGCGTCTGAGCAGAAAAAGTAAGATAACTAATTTTCAGGCGGCAGCCTTCTGCTTTCTTAGAAGGAATAGAGCCACGGTGGAACAGACCGAGGGCCTATTTGGGGCAGGGTCCCGTTTCCCATAATTGGCAACAACTTGTGGGAAAGAAGCTAACAAATAGGGCTTGAAGGCTATACTCTTCTGGCTTTATTATTTCTCAGTAGTTTCATGTTTAGGAGCAGGGGCCTTCTGGTCCTGGAAATGGCCCAGATATCCTCTTTGGTCATAACCTTTGATAGGTGAGTAAATCCCAGTCAATTATAAAGCAATCTATGGAACCAGTCTTCTATCATGCCTGTGCAAAAGAAGAAGCAGTGGGAAAAATACTCTGTGTTGCTGCAGATCCTGCCAACTTTGGGTTCTGCTTCCTCCTATCCTTGGCTGTGGTCAGGGACATCCTTGAGGAGGAGTGAAAAAAGTCAAGGTGGTGGTCCTAACTGTGTGGTTGAAGCCCTGCCCCTTTTCTATGTGTGTTGATGTTCAAAGGGGAAGAGCTTTAATTGTGTGGCTCCCCTCTTGACTTTGTAAACCCTCTCCCCAACACTGCTGGCTGTGGTCCATATTTGGTTTTTCTTGTAGGGAACCAGTCTACTGTAATAGGATTTGGACTGGGAAGATCCTAATTCAATTACCCCTTCAGCCATGGAGCTTACTGACTGCCTTTGAACCAATCACTTTTCTCTCAACCCATTTACCCTACAGTGTTTTACAGGATTGTTGTGGAAATAAAATGAAGGAAGACTCCATACCCAATATACTGTGTGTTGAACTCCCAGTAGATAAGTAGGATATAAACCAGTAAATAAATGATTATTCATAGGGAAAGAAAATATAGCACCTGCCCCTAACTTCCCGTAGATGTGTTGGATTTTAGTCCTTTTGGAAGGTATCATTTGAGCATCAAGTGATTATGTGGATATATGAGTGGAATTTAAGAGTCAGAATTTTAATAATATCCAATACGCTTGGCAGAACTCAGTTCTCCAAGAGCTGGCCCTTATGTAACAAAAGCAGTTCTGTGGAGTCCTTGGTGCTCTCTGAGCCTTGGTTGTTTGCTTGCAGATGTTTCATTACCCAACTAGGTAACATCATCAGTGCTAGTGAGTATGGGGTTTGCTCCCCGTTTATATACAGTAGCTTGCCCTGCCCATGTTGGTGGGGGTGTGGTTTTTTCCTTGATAGTTCCTTGATTAGGGTTTTGTTCCCTTCTTAGCCTTTTTTATTGTCTCTTTTGAATGGTGTGTAAATATGGTTTATTTCTATGTATCAGTTGATGGCTGATTTGTCTAAATTTGTCATGCAAAAAGACCAGAACACATCCACTCCAGCAGCTAACACTCAGATAAGCAGGGATTAACACCAGGCAAATGATCAAGCAGAAAACAATATCCTAATCAAGGAACTACCAAGGAGAAAAACACC